ATCTGCATCGGTCTCTAGTGGTTTGTATGCGGCACATGCTGAATCTTTCACGTAAGCAATCTGTGGTCTCCGCCGAGTTAAAGCGGACGATTTTCATTGCCCTTCCAGCTGTAAATGAGCAGCAGTTCTGGTACATTCGATGATCCCATTTCACTGCTGAATATACCGGTAACAACCCCGATATCCATTGGATGAAATTATGCAGTCATGGATCGAATTCTGAGGACTGGAAACAGCAGACACCTGTGGCAAGATGTAAGACTTCTCTGTGGAAGGAAGAAAGTACGGTCGAAGCTGGATGCGGATTTGGAAGTTGATTATCTCAATGCCGCATTCCTGCGCCAGTCACCGGACATTCTTCCTGCCTACTCGTCACATTTTTGTAATGTGAGACCATTCGCAAATTGTGATGTGTAAGAACTTTAAATAGTTGATATTACTTATCTGCTGCAGGCCAGGATGATTTACCTCCAGTCCTGTTCAAATTTGGTGCTGTTTCTCATTGTAAAGTGATCTCTCAACACTTCTACTGTCTCCGACTGTTGGAAACCGGCTACAACCATACCAATCTCCAAAAAAATCCAAATCTTACATACTCTCCAAACGTTTTCGTCTCACAGCGTTAACATCTTCAGCTCTTAAGTTGACCGAAAAGGCTATCCTCAAACGCCTTCAACAGTCTATAAACATTCCCAGTGATCCTTTACAGTTTGCTTACAAGCCTAATAGGTCCACCCTGGAGGCAGCCTCCAATCTTATTCATTTTATCACTATCTTTGAACAACTGTGTTAAGTCTGTTCTATCTTTTTTCTGGACTACTCTTCAGCATTTGATTCCATTCCTCGATTAAATTTGTAAAAAACTGGAATCTTTTAGATGCCCCAAGCAATTTGTAGCTTGGCTATCCAACTGATAGAGTACAAGCCATTAGATTGGGGAAGGCTTCATCTAAATCCCTAGTCAACAACTCCGGAGTTCTTCCAGGAGCTGTTATCCTCATACTTACTTTCTACTTATATTTGTGATATTCCTTGTTCCCCTGAACGTATCTTGAAATATGCAGATGACGTTGTGCTGTGCCAACCCATTTCTTCTTACTCCAATCTAAGCTCTTTCACCGACAATCTTAATCAAATTCAATTATTCTCGTAGTCATTGGGGCTAACCTTAGACCCCAGTAAATGTGTTGAGTGTTTAAATAGTTTAGCTTGTTCTCCATACTCGACAGATCACACAATGATTAATAGCAATCCTTTATCTAGGGTGAACTGTCAAATATCTTGAAGCAACCGTTGAAAGCAATCTCCATTGGTTAACCCACATTCACAACTGAATTGGCAAACTGCGGCGCTTATCATTTCCAATCCGAAAGCTCAGGCAGCTTCGTGTATCCCAGTCAGTTATTTCCACTTTTGTTTATCAGTGTGTTTTCCCCATCTTACCTCATTGTTTCCCTGTTATTTTTCCTGACTTACTCAAACAGGGTTTCAAGGTCTTACGCCGCGGTCAATTATTAGTCGAGTTTCTTCTATACCGGTGAATGAATTAGCTGTAAAGTTTTCAGGGTATTAAATAACTTCCTGTGTGAAATTTGCAGAGAGGATTCTTACAGATCCTGACCACCCATTGCATGCAGAACTGACACATTGTCGTTCCATTCATTTCACACGCTCCCAACTCCACCAAATCTCATTTCGAATTAACGCTTGCCGCAATTCACCATATCTTGCTCATTTAATAACAGAGGGCAATGAGTGAACTTTGTCTAAACCTCGGATTATGAAATGACCCCATGACTGTAAAATTTTCTCCCCATTCATCATGTACTTTTTAACTGAAATGTAAGCTCCAGTGCTTGCAAAAGTAATACACAATACACAATGGAAATCCGAGTAAGGGGCACCATTAAAGGTGCAGCACCGGTCTTGAACGGAGCCGATTCAACGAAAACGATAGATGTAGTGGATATTAGTGTCAAATAATATGCGAATCATAATAGTGAAATGTGATGCATAAAAAAATCCTATGGAATAAGACCATTCCAGTAAAACAATACACAAACAGTTAATTTGCGTGATATATATTTCATAATAAGTAGTATGTGAATGACTGGACAAAATTTCCCTGGAAGCACACGACCGGTTTCGCGGTTCATGCCGCTCGTCAAGCATGCGTATCCGGCAATCTTTCGTCAGTTCATTCATATACTTGTACCCAGGAAGTGTATTTTCATCTGACTCACCTACAAAACATTGAATCATAGCACTAATTCTTCAATGGACTGGCTCTGAAAGAGCTCTCTATCCAAGTCACCTGGTGTTGCAAAGATGGTTATTGTGACGAATATATATATATATATATACTACAATAAGTAGTATATGAATGATTCAAAATTCCCCTGGAAACACGAAACCACCTTCGCGGATCTTGCCGCTTGTCAGG